TAAAAAGCAGAGACATCATCTTGCTGACAAAGGTCCGCATAGTCAAAGCTATGGTTTTTCTAGTAGTGACATATGGAAGTTAGAGTTGGGCCATAAAGCAGGCTGAGCACCGAAGAACTGATGCTTTTGAATTGTGGTGCTGGAGGAGACTCCTGAGAGTCTCCTGGACTGCAAAGAGAACAAACCTATTCTGAAGGAAATCAACCCTGAGTGCTCACTGGAAGGACAGATCCTGTAGCTGAGGCTCCAATACTTTGGCCATCTCATGAGAAGAGAAGACTCCCTGTAAAAGACCCTGATGTTGGGAAAGTGTGAAGGCAAAAGGAGAAGGGGACGACAGAGGACGAGATAGTTGGACAGTGTTATCTAAGTGACCAACATGAATTTGACCCAACTCCGGGAGGCAGTGGAAGACAGGAGGGCCCGGTGTGTTCTGGTCCATGGAGTCACAAAGAGTCAGACACGACTTAACGACTAAAACAACAACAACATCATTATACAACTCATTACATAACCCAGCTTAGCATTTTGAAGAACCTATCTTGCCAAACAAAGTTGGGGGGAAAAACAGCTTTCATATCATGTCGAGCCCTGAACAGACAGCTATAAGCTGCTCCAAGTGAGCAGACAGAAAATGGAAGGCAAAAGAAATTAAGTGGAACCTTGACTTACAAATGTCCCTACCTATGAACATTTCAACTTACAAACGGCTCCATTCGCAAAAATTTGCATCGACTTCTGAACGGGAGCCTCAAGCTACGAACGAAAAAAAGGCAGGGGAAAAGGGCGGGAAATTCAAATTTCCCCTGCCTTTTTTTCGTTCCATTCAAACCAGTGGTGACAAAGAGGCTGCTGTTTTGCCCCAACAGTTAGGAAAAGGGACCCCCAGGAAGTCTCCAATAGCGGTGGGGGACCCTGGGGAGGTCTCCCAGGGATTCTCCGCCATGATCGGAGACCTCTTGAGGTCCCCCTGCCACTGCGATTGGACCCCCAGGACGTCTCCGGAGGCCTCCTGAGGGTCCGATCGTGGCGGCGGGGGACCCCCAAGAAGTCTCCGATAGCAGTGGGGAAGCTCTGGGAAACCTCCTGGGGGAACCCCGCCGCCGTAGTTGGGGAGGTCTCCCAGGGCTTCCCCGCCACAATCGGAGACCTCTTGGGGTCCCGCCGCCGCCACGATTGGACTCCCAGGAGGTCTCCGGAGGCCTCCTGAGGGTCCGATCATGGTGGCGGGGGACCCCCAGGTCTCCAATGGCAGTGGGGAAGTTCTAGGAAACCTCCTGGGGGAACCCCGCCACCGCAGTTGGAGGCAGCGGTCACCCAGCACTGGGAGGCTTGAGCTGACCGGGTTTCTTCCGCCGCTTCCCTCCCGCTCAGTCCTCACTGCCCTCCGCCATTTGAATTTGCTGTCATGGGCCCATGGAGGGTGGCGCAGAGAAAGTGGGAGGCGAGCCAGGAGGCAAGCGGCCAAAATCCGGCTAGCTCAAGTCTCCCAGCTCTGGGCAACTGTTGCCTCCGCCGCGGCCGGGGGGAAGAGGCCGAAGCACCCTGGCCAGACTCAAGCCTCAGGGCAGTGGCGCTCACAATGGCAGCGATCGCAGTGGCGGAGGACCACCAGGAGGCTTCAGACTTGTAAGTGCTGCTTTTTTTCTTTTAAAAAAGTTGATCTGGGTGGGTTTTGGAGGGTAGGTTTGGTCTGTGGGGCTATGTTTCTGTGTTGTTTTGTTTTTTGGTGATTTTTGTTTTTTGCAGTACCAACATGGGACTTGCTCCAATGTTTATTTTTGGATTTGTTTGGGGTTTGGTTTTGTTTTGTTTTTCTGCAGTCCCAGCATGGAACTTGCAGTGTTTTGTTTTTTGGTATTTATTTCTTCCCCCAGAACGCATAAATCGATTTTCAATGTATTCCTATGGGAAATGGTGCCTTGACTTACAAACTTTTCGACTTGTGATCACATTCCAATACGGATTAAGTTCCTAAATCGAGGTACCACTGTAGATATAACCCTTCATTTTTAGATTGGAGCAATATTGATGTCAAAGACCAGGGGAAAAAATGATGAAGTGAAAACAGAGATTAAAAATGTGTCCTCTCTAAGGACTCTAATGCAATTTTGGCATCACATGTACCCCCCCCCTCACATTACTGCTTCAAATGAAAAACCTGTACTGCACTTTGTACTAAACAATGTGACATACTATAAAGTTAGCAAGCTGAAACCTGTTTAAACTAAATAATAGCTTCCATATCAGGGGTTTACATTACTTTAAAAACACTGCTTCATGTTGCAGGGAACGTGGAAATCATCATTCAGCGTGATGGCAACTAGGCCTAAGAAAACGTGATGCCTTTTTAAAAAAAAAATACATCTGTGAAGCGCGTTTCACCGCGAAACCGACCAAGGCTACAGAACTGACAAGTGTCCTGGAAAGGCTGAGGCGGCGCCTCTAGCATCCACCCCACAGCCCCGAACCGACTGCACTCCCCCCTCGGCCGGCCGGCCGGCTGAGCAAGACAAGGGTCACGGCCCTAACCCTTAACGACACCAAAGCATGAGCGGGGAAACAGCTGAGAACGACGAGGCTGCCCGTTCCTCAGGACCTGCAAACTACAGGAATGGAAGCAAGCCGCCGAATCTGGCCAGAAGACCTCGAGAGCCGCCGGCCAACCCCACTCACCACGACTCTCACCAGCGCCGCCATAACTCGTCAAGGACGCGCTTCCGCTTCCGCGAAACATCAAAGTGCTTCCGCCCTTCCACCCGCCGCGGGGAGCTGTCGGCGGCTGCCTCCGCCATGTCGGAGGGATTTTTCCCCCCCTTTAGCTCCGTGGCCTGCCGCGCTTCTGTGGAGGAATGCTTTCCCGCCAACCCTTCGTAGCTTCAGTTCCTCGGACCTTGCCGCTGTGCAGCACTCGCGTAGCAGACGAGAGAGGAGCTGCGGGGTTGCGGAGACCCGAGGAGGAGAGGAAGCCGGCGCTTGCCCTTCAGCCAGCGGCTCCCGGTCCTCGGGGAGCTAACCAGGGCGGCTTCTAAGCCTCCATCCACAAATCTCTCTCCCCCTACGGAAATTTAGTTGGTAGGGGTTCACCCCGGCTAGGTTGGCAGCCTATATATATTCACAAAGTCGCCCTTATTCACCATGACCAGAAAAATCTTCCCCTTCTCTAGAAGTATTAAGAGCTGCAAGAAGCAGGAGGAGCTGGATATATAAGTACGACTTTATATATATAAAAGTACGATTTTGTATATATATACGACTATATATATTTTTCACAAAGTCGTACTTATCACCATGACCAGAAAAACCTTCCCCTTCTCTAGAAGTGTTAAGAGCCGTAATAAGCATGGGGAGCTGGATTAGCAAAAATTAATTTTAATAAAACCATTCTGGGAGTTCTGTTTGCTAATATTAGATAGCCAGAATTGGCAGAGCTGGTGTTAGCATAATAGCTGTATGATTAAAGGTTGTTGTGGGTTTGTTGTAGAGTTCTGTCCTCTGAAGATGCCGGCCACAGAGACTGGCGAAATGTTAGGAAGAATAGCCTTCAGAACACAGCCAGAGAGCCCGAAAAACCCACAACAACAATTAGATCCTGGCCATGAAAGCCTTCGTGAATACATTGTATGATTAAAGTTTTTCAGTTCTCATTGATGTTTATATAGTATAGTCAGGGGAAAGTCTGTTTTTATCTTGTCTAGTTTGTGTTGCCATTGAATGTTGTTAGCTCAGGCCTATACATATTCATTCACACGTAATGTGACTGCCTTTCAATGAAGGGTGCACAGGATATAATCTATAAAGTGCGGAGGCGAGGCCTATAATATATAGTGCTACATCAGCTAAGGTGCACCTCCCCCAGGTTGCAGAAGCAGGAGGGAAGGAAAGTAGGACCACACCACACTTCCTGAGAGGTCAGCTGTATTAGGCTTTTCCCGCAGTTATCATCTAACAGCCATTCCATCATGATTTAAAAATTCACAGTATGAGGACCTTGTACCAAGTTCTCTGATTTTCAGTTTCTATCCGCTATTCCTTTTGCACCATCTCTTCTTTAGATTATAAAACTGAAGATAAGAGGGGGTTTGTATTGATATATAAGCTGGACTGATATCCTTTCCAGCTGAATAACTGAACTATGAATAATATGTGCTGAGGAGCTATTAATGACCAAGGAAACTGGCTGCACATTTATCACACATTTTAAATGTGTTTCTCACATGATACACAAAGCATGCAATGAGTATTTACAAATTCATCCAACCTATGTGAATCAGCTCTGAATGCCATTGTATTTGTTGGAATTTGAAATGTAGCAAATTGGATACAACTTTAAAAACTCATCCGTTCTCCTAACCTAACTGATGGTATCATTAATGATAATACCTTTTGCATAAGAACTGCAAAAATTCATCCTGTTAATGCTCAAACACTTGTGGCTCATGAGGACTCCTACAAATTCTGTTTCTGAAAGAATCTGTGAGGCAGCAGTCATTTTGCCCATCTCAGGTTTCTATGGAGAAAGAGAGAGGAACTGATAACAATAGAGTTATGAGGAGCCTGGAATGATTCAAAGGTGAAAACAAGACCTACCTTAGCTATAAAATACTTATGAATAGGCCTTATTTCTACAGTGTTTGTAACTAGGCAAATTTCTACTGTATATACTGTAAACCAAAACCATCTCTAGCAGCATACTGGCAACCTCTTAGGAAGGCACATGGCCAAATCATATTGGCAGAGATTTCTCCCTAGACTATTTTTAAATGACTTCCAGTGTGGGGGATTCCATAATCACCCGTTACCTTGTTCCACTCGCTAACAATTTTCACATCCACAATTATTTTTATGAAGTTTATGCTTAAATTGTTCTTGTATCTCAAGAAACAATGTTAACATAATTGGTTAAGGGAAATAACTGATCTCAATTTGCTTTATAATTGCCCTGTATGAATCTATTTGAAATCATTTGTCACCTGGTTTTGCCTTGGAATAAGTATTTCCAGAACATTTAGTACTACCTTCTGTCTACAGAGATTGCATTGTAGTTGATTCCTATTAACTGTCAACTCGTCTTCCCATCAATGCTTCAGTCTGTATGTAATATGTGCTTGTAGCAACTGAAATACTGTTCCTAAATATTTAACAATGAGATATCTCCCTTCAACACTAGGATACTAACATGCTGCTTTGTTTTGTAATTTAATACTGATTTAGATATTGGTACAATCATTCTAACTACTAAATAAAAGATTCCCATGTTAAAATATAGTTTATAATTAATGCAATGCTTTTCATATTGAAGTGGCCCCTCTCCAGCAAACCAAGGAGTGCCAATAATTTTTGCATGCTATTTACTAATAGTCCCTACACAATCCATCCTAGCAAAAATGGCAAGTGTACATCCATCCAGTTAGGTACATCTCGGCTTTGATGTTGGATTGATCAAGCACCCTTAAATATTGATACTAGTGTGTCATAATTGAAAGTAAACACCAGTACCATCTTGATCAATATAAAGTCTATTTGTTTAAGAAATGCCAGTAAACTGAACAAACCAAGAGGAATCATTTGGCATTCGTGTCAGGCTGCACAACCTTTTTTGTAACATTAAGCTCTTTTCAGATTTTTTTCCCATATTTTATACTGAAGTATACTCTGGCTTGAAAACAAATGGTAAGACTTTTAAAATCATGAGTAGGATTTAGAATAATTAAGCAAATTGTTTATTCAAAAAAAAAATGAAGAAAAGCATAGGGACATTTAGAATAAAATGTTTCCCTAATTATTTATTTCTGGAATTCATTTTTACTCCACTATTCAACTGAAGAGAGCTTGCAAAACACAAACTACTGTATGCATTTTTATTTATTACATTTACACCTCTCTTTCCCACTACACAGTAATGTCCAGAGCAGCTTATAATCTTATTGAATTTGTGTTAATTTATTCAACCACAAATGAAAAAAGCAGGAGTGAAATGGCAGTTGGTACTTTCCAGACCAAAGGAGAGGTCCTTGCAGCCATCTGCAGTTCTAAGATGCTGATGATTACAATTAAGCTATAGCTATATTCCAGAGAGAATGTAGTAACCGAAGAAGCATTAAATAACATTGAGTGGCTACCTGTCTTGGAAGAGTTGAACAGCGAACCAACTTTAACAGAAATACAAGCGGCCTTGGATTCCCTTGCCTCCAGCAAGGCACCTAGAAAGGATGACATACCTGTTAAAGTGCTGTAAAGAGATAATCACCACCGAACTGTATGAAGTATTTCATCTTTGCTGGAGGGAAGGTGGAGTACCACAGGACATGAAGGACGCAAACATCGTCACATTGTATAAGAACAAAGGAGACGGGCGACTGCAATAACTACTGTGGCATCTCTCTTCTTAGCGTTGTAGGGAAACTGCTTGCCCGTGTTGTACTGAGGAGACCCCAGGTGCTTGCAGACAGAGTCTATCCAGAATCACAGTGTGGATTTCGAGCTAATAGATCCACCACAGACATGGTATTTTCCCTCAGACAGTTGCAGGAGAAATGTAGGGGAACAACAACAGCCACTCTTTGTGTCCTCCATAGATCTCACAAAGGCATTTGATTTGGTTAGCAGCGATGGCCTTTTAAAAATACTTCCCAAGATTAGATATCCACCTTGACTCCTTAACATCATCAGGTCTTTTCATGAGGGAATGAAGGGCACTGTAGTTTTTGATGGCTCAACATCAGATCCCTTTGACATCCGAAGCTGAGTGAAGCAGGGCTGTGTTCTCGCGCCAACCCTGTTTGGAATCTTTTTTGCTGTCATGCTGAAGCATGCTTTTGAAACTGCAACAGAAGGTGTCTGTCGCCAAACTAGATCAGATGGAAAGCTCTTTAATATCTCTAGACTGAGAGCAAAGACCAAAGTCCACCTGAAATTTATTCAGGACTTCCTCTTCGCTGATGATTCAGCTGTTGTTGCTGTGATACCTGAGGAGAGGCTATAGAAGCACTCGCCGGAGTGTCGTCCTCCTTTAAGAAGGAAAAAGAGACCCAAATGGAGACTGCAAACCCCTGCGTCGCGGTCAGGCACCAGGGAATAGACACCCGTGAAGTGGAACAGGGTTTGGAGAGACTCTTGGTGGCTACTCAGACAGGACTAGAAAAGGCGGGAACAAGGGTGAAGGAGCAACCATTGGTAGAGGCGGGGCTGGGGGGTATAAAAGGGAACGGGACAACATACCGGGGGGCTGGGAGCTGATATGTGTCGAAGTCCCCTGGACAGGGAGGTGTGAGAAAGTGAGAGTACCTCGGGAAGAGGCTGATTACAGGAGAAGAAGGGGATTGCCTCCCAAGCTGTCTTATTGGGGGGAATCTGAGGCCAGAGAGTGGCGGAGGCACCTAAGAGAGGAGAAAGAAGCAGTGGAAAGAGAAGAACGCGAAAGACTAGCATGGCGTCTGGAGGAGGCTCGCCGGAGGAGGTATTTACAGGACCTTGGGACCCCTATGCAGAGGGAACCGACCCCTTCGAACATGAGGGGGGAGACGAGATCTTTTGGAATCCAACCCATGATTGAGGTGGACAGTGATAATAAAGATCAGGGTGAAACCAACCCTTTCACCAAGGGACCCTGGTATGATCCAAGTTATAATCCCTTCCTACAAGATTTATGGACACCCTCGTTTGACCCGTTGGCGACAAGAGAAAAGAACACAGACAAGTTTAATGTTGATACTTCTTTATTTGACATTTCAATAAACCCCAGTTCTGTTTTTCAAAAAA